TTTAAAAATGTTGCTCTTGCACCTACAATTTATTATTTGTGCTAAAAAGGAATTCAAGGCTGGTTCTTAATAAAAGCAATAGCATGTAGTATGTGCACAAGAAAATTACAATTCTAGCTCAATTGAGATTTTTTTCAAGTGTAATACTATCCTTGCTATGCCCTAGTGGAGATAGAAAGATTGAGCGATCATGCAATGGAAAAAAAAAAAAAAAAAAAAAAGCCGCATCCATGACCTTTATGCAATAAGATTAAGGTCCAATTTTCAACTAAAAATTTTTTAAGGCCCAATTTCAAAATGAAAAAAAATTAAATAACCCGATAAATGTATTTTTAAGACCCAATTTTAAGCCCAAATAAAATAATAAGCCCATCTTTCTCCTTTAATCTTTAATTACTTAAACTCTTCCTTTTTGATCCACAAATGAAGAACAGACCATACTTCCCCCCTTTCTCATAGTCTTCCTTCTATTTCTTTTCTACCACTCCTTACATGTTAAATACTGCTCTAATCTTTAAAAAATCAATCTCAGTTAAATGCCACAAAGAATAATATTATATTTACATTTAGTTTTTCTAATTAAATATTAGGTAAAATTATCAATAAATAAATTAGTAACAATAAAAAACTTTTATGTTTTCATTATCACTAAATAATATCATATTTAATTTTTCTAATTACATATTAAGTAAAATAGGAAACGGAAAGCCAGGACTGCCAGGCAGTCCTGGTTTTCCACAAGCCCTAAGTAAAATTATTATTAACTAGAGTACTTATTTAATTGTTCAAACAAGCATTTTCTAGGGAAAACAAAGACAAAAGCAAAAACAAATACCGACCCCTACCTAGTTTAAAAGCTGGAAATTGAAAACCAAATGCACAAAACCCTTTCAAGAAATGCAGATACTTCTGCAACACCACAACACAACCCATCAGAATGTCAGTTTCAGAATCAATAAGTAAAAGAACGAAAAGAAAACAAGAAATCAGAGAAAGAAGAATAAGGAAAGTCAATCGAATTGAAAGGGGTAGACATAAGATGTCTTGGGTAGAGAGAGACAAAAATCTTGAAAGTGGGAAAGTGGGTGTGAAGATTTAAACAGCCAACATTAGATTTTCCTTAGAAAACAACGACAAAAGCAACCAGACAAAATATCTAATAAATAATTTTGAAGCTGTTAACATCCTTACTTAAAATTTTTAAATAAAAAATTAGGTTTAATGATAAAAATGGGAGTTACCTCCCACTCAAATAAAGGTTAAGTAGGTCACCAGTGGCCTACGAGAGATTGGGATTTGGGAGTATAGTTAGAGTAAGAAAATGCATACACGCAACTCACAATCTTCTATGTAAAACATAATTCCATTCTTTAAGATTAAGCAAGTTTGTTTCAACTTGTTTCCTATTTAAGGACCAAGTTAACTTAACTCAAAAAGGGTGGGAGTGATGAAAAGATCTCTTAAAAAAATAAAAAACAAAGACTCAATTGAACAATATTTAAAGTAAAGATGGTAACTGAGAAAAAATTAAAAATGAGGGGCTAAATGAACGGATTAAGAAAGATATGGACCAATTTGAGAAAATATGGATTTTAATTCCCGATCAGTGTTTATTAAGATTAATTAAAGAAATTAAACCCAATTAAAGTCATTAGTCTTAATTAACTAGGATTAATTATAAAATCAATCTTAATTAAGATAATTTGTCTTAAATAAATTCTAATTAATTAATGCTAATTAGTTACCCTAATAGATTTAAATATTAATTAAATTAGATTAATTCTAATCGAATTAATGTTAATTTAAATTAATTAATGTAATTAGTTGAATTAACTAAAATTAATCAATTTAAATGGTCAAAGTCAACAACATTAACCCACTAAGCATTTTACATTGGGTCTGTTGTGCTCTAAAGGGGGTGCGGCCCAATCCATTATTTAATGGTATCAGCTCTGCCTTTTTGCTTTCTCTCATCTTAGATTTAGTAACTCCAGTTTCTTGATCAATCTTTACTTGAAGAGATTTACTAAAATAATGAACCATTCTCTAGATGGAACTTCCATTGTTTGGAGACAAGAAATCACTCTACTTGGCCGGTCAAATTGTTGGTTGCTAACCATAAGAAGAACTGCAAGCTCCACATCTTTGATCTCCTTCTCCGAGAGACCAAAGCAAGCACTGCAGAAGAAGCTATTAAGTGTATTGATATCGACACAGTCCTGGAAAGAAAATGCTCTTGCAATTCTGATGATATCTACTGTTGACAATCTTCTAGTTTCATCCATGATTCAAGCACTTCAAAGGCTGAAATATAGTCTCTATTGGAAATGCATATCAGGAATTTGTTGAATCTGACACTTCATATTAAAGGTATCCCCTCCAAAGCATGATTCATACGTCAAATCTTTCCATAGCAATGTGAGAGATTAATCTGGACGGTCAGATAGGAGAGTTATACTCACCAAAATACAGCTTATAATGGTAACTCCTCTATCTCTCTTCAATTTCTTGGCGATGAAGCCTAGTGCAAGATAATGTAAGAAACCTTAAATATGTAAACCTAATAATAATCTAAGGCGGCTATATAAGACTGATTTAATATCAAGCCAAGCATATATAAGACAATGAGTTAATCTTGACATAATTGGCAATTCTAGGTAAAAAAATATAATACACGGTACCTACAACGAGAATGAAGATTCCTACAGCATGTAAACTCGGTCGTGTCATAAATTTGGTCTTTGTTCTTATCTAACAAAGGCTGCTTGTGCAATGATAGATTAGTAAAGGTTTTTCCTTTTGATTTAAACATTGCCATTCCATCTTCTGATCAGCCAACAAAGCACAGGAAAAAGTCTTAACACTTAGAAACCCAATTAAGCTCCAAGAATTTGCATTAACTAATTCAAACTCCAGATTCATTTTACTATTCAAATCTCATAAATCTATGGAAAACCAAAACTTCCCAACAAAAAGTACATAAATTTTGAGAACACATTCTTCTGAAAATGCAAATTAATACATAATTACCTTAGAATTACAAGGGAGAAGGCTTCTGAACTTATTGAGATGGGATTCTTCAAAGCAACAAGAGCTTTGTCCAGAGGAGTCGTGTCGGTGACGCTGGTGAAGCCTTGCATGATTGGAAGCCGATCAGAATCGTTGGGGAAGCAGTGAGATCCGAGGCTGTTTTCGGCGAGGAAACGGTGGAGGTCGGAGTTCTCCAGCAGGTGCATAGTTGAGATTATGAAGCGTTTCTTCGAGTGGGTACTGAAGATGTTTGTTGGTGATCAGAGCATCCGGTCGTTACTTGTCTATGGAAAAACCTGAAGTACCCCGAATTATTATTATTTTTTTTAAATTACAATTATAGTAATTTTTTACTCTGTCTCAAAGTCAGTCCCTTTTCTATTTTTTTTTTTTTCTAAATACTAGTACTAGTAGTAAGGACTTCGGAAAAATGTATACATTTTTCTATACCATCTTTAAAGTTTCTTTTGATAAAATGATTGATTAACATATAATAAATAAATAAAAATAAGATTATATACAGTAAAGAAAATAATTAATTTTTGAAGCAGAAAGATTAAAAATAAAAAAGAGAAAGAAAATGAAAATAAGTACTGTGTAGTTTGAGTTACAAAAATACTCCCTGTCTGAAATCTTTTCTAAGTTTTTTTTTTTAAAAAACATTTTTCTGTCTTTTTTTTTTTAGGAAAAAATGATTAAATTAAGTATTAGTATCTGTTACTTTGTAAAAAAGTCAAATCTTAAAGTTAGATGCATTTCACTTACTATCTAATAAATAATGTAGTCACTGTTGAGTCACATGAGAAATTGCTTCTCTGTCTTGTTTTACTTGCATGTTCTAATATTTTCATTACCTAAATTATGTTTTTTTTTTTTTTGGGCAGCCCAAATTGAAAATTCCAAATGCTTGAATATTCCTTTATTTGGGAAGCACCTAAACTGAACCTCTCCATGAAAATTGGTAAAAATTAATTTGACTCACCTTCCGTGACCAGCATAAGACATGGATTTAGGTTCCTAAGCACGCTTATTACAGATTTGAAGCAGTAGGGACTGTCCAATAATGTTTCTTAGCACCCCAAAGAGTAGATGATGTCAACTCCACCATTGTTTTAAGTTTTAACTTGAACATGGTTGCACTAATTTCTTTGCTGTGGAACACCAATCCAAAGCATTTTCTAATGAAATGGGTATATTTAAGGCCTCAGCAAAACAGGCAAGTTCTGCCTGTCTATTCCATTTTGTAGCATCTTACAAGAAGTTGAAATCTCACTAATTGAACACAATCAAATGTTTCAAAAGAAAGAGAACAAACAGTGATACAAGATTCAGATGATGGACAAGTCAATACCAATAGAGACACTTACAAGAAGTTAAAGGGTTTACTTCCTGAGAGACATGCGTTGTCTATTGAAAAACATCTTTATCTCATCATCATATAACTCAAAGATATCTTCACTAATCTCTTTCATGTGTGTCATAACAGCAACTTTGAATGAAAATGGGATATTTAACGCTTCAGCAAAACTGGTACAAAGTCTATTTAATTAAGAATTGGTTCATACTTTCACTTAACGAAAGGAACATAATCAATGTTTGAACAGAAAAGGAACAAACTTGATACAGAATTTGGACGATGGCTGTTTCAATACAAATGGTAACATGAAAATGGTACAAGGTCTACTTCCTGACAGATTTCCCTTTTCCACTGCAACTTGGCCTTGGAGCTTTGTGTTCTTTGAATTTCCAAGCAGAAACCAAAAAAAAAGAAAACATCAAATCGTTTGGCAACACTGGCTGCCTGATACAAAGATGATGATCCTAGATTTGTTTCAACTATTCCAAACTTAGCAAAATAGCTTCTTCAATCATCTATCTTCATGTGCCTGAAAAACCTATTGTCATCATCAGTGACAACAATATTTTGTATATCTCGACCAAAGTATGTTGATTCATAAGCAATCCTTATTGGATCACTCTGATCCATACGATCTCCACAGCAATCAAAGGAAGAACCCTACTAGAATAATGTTTCAGAAAATCGTTCCATGAAAATTTGTGAATGACGATTTACCTCACATTCTGTTACCACCATAACACATGGATTTAAGTTCTTTAGAACTCCTATAAGAGATTCCAAGGAATCAGGCTGTCCTACAATGTGTCTTAGAAACACCCAAGAGTAGACGGTGACAACTTGACCATCTTCTATCTCAAACATATCTTCATTGATATCTTTCATGTGTGTCACTATAATAGATTTAAATCAGAAGGCTATATTTAAGGACTCAGCAATACAAGCTAGCCTTCTACCTGTCTCCTCAATTTCCTTTTCTCTGTTATTCCTATGGCAGTAACTTTAAGAAGGTCCAGTGGGACTTCATTTCGAATGGCAAGAGCTTGCATTAACACTGTACAGTGCTCCCCACTTCTAATTGCAAGGTCAATATAATGAACCTTTCTTGCAGAGGCCACATGTTATACAATTGCTTAAATTCCTGCAAACACAATTACTTGAGAAGATGGAAATATCTTGTAACATTCAATTGAACCAGGTTTCAACACACACTGTACTTTCATCTGAGAGTAACTGCTCTGCTGTTTTGCTTTCTCTGATCTTTGATTTAGTAGCTCCAGTTTCTCTATCAATCTTCTCACGAAGAGCTTTACCAAAATAGTAAACCATTCTCTGGACAGAACTTCCATTATTTGGAGACAAGAAATCACACAAATTAAGGATTCTGCTTGCCTGGTCAAAATGTTGGTCGCTAAACTTCTCAGCAGAAGCTAGTAGAAGAACTGCAAGCTCCACATCTTTGATCTCCTTCTCTGAGAGACCAGATCCAGGACTGCTGAAGAAGCTATTAAGCATACTAATATCAACACTGTCATGGAAAGAAAATCTGGTGAAATGTGCTCTTGCAATTCTGATGATATCTACAGTTGATAATCTTTGAGCTTCATCCATGATTCAAGTAGTAGGAGGCTGGCTTATGGCTTCTTTCAGAAATGCATAATCAGTTTCCTGAATGCAGAATCATATCAGCAATTTTTTAAATCTGACATTTCTTATAGGAGGAATCCCCTGATCATCAACGTCCTGCAAAACATGATTCATTCATCAAATCTTTCCACATCAATGTCAAAGACTAATCAGAAGAGTTAAATAGGAGAGTTATACTCACCAAATTAGGTTTTACATATTATGATGGTAACTCCTTTATCTCTCTTTGTAATTTCTGGTTTCTTGGTCATGAAGCCTAATGCAACAATTTAAGATAATATGTAAAACCTAATAATAACAGTGACTGATCTAACAAGAAGCTAGTAGATAGCAAATTTAGTCTTGAAATAATCAGCAATCACAGGATCACAATATATAAAATACACGTTGCAAACTAGAAGAATGAAGATTCCAACTACAGGATAAGATATATAAGCCAAGAAAACAGCAAGCATGCTGTGGACTCAAGTCATATATAACTTTGAAGGCCGAAAAAGTGTAATCTATAAATTTAGTCTTTGTTCTTACTAGGAAAATGGTGGATTGTGCAATGTGGAATCATATAACCGTAAGGTCTTTTTTTTTGATAAGTTGTTCCCCTGACTAGGATGGATTTGCACATGAGAAGATGGAGAGAAGTTTAGAACTTTGGGAATTTCAATATATGAAGAACTGTACAACATTCTCCACCATGTTGCACGCTAAAGAAGAAATAAGAAAGTACAATAAGGATCATGGTTGTTACAGTGCAAATTCAAACATAAAAAAGTATACTTCCTGAGAGCTTTGCATTTTATGTTGCAACTCCAGCTTGCATCTCTGAACGTATGAATGCTGTTTCTAAATTCATCCTGATTGGATCACACCGATCCTTTTTAAAGTAAATGCAGTTGGGACAACTTTGAGAGAGGAAATTGAAGAAAAAGGTAAAAGGCTGGCATGTGAAGCCAATTCCTTAAATATACCCTTTGCATTCAACGACGCTACGGTGCCTCACATCAAAGATATCAGTGTCGATACCTTTGAGTTACATGATGATGAAGCTCGTCATCTACTTCCGGTCTCTGCTAAGATATACTTTAGTACAGCCTGATTGCTTGGAAACCGTAATAACAGTGCTTAAGAAGTTGAATCCAAGAATTATGGTGGTAACAGAAGTTGAGGCAAATCACAATTCACCCATTTTCATGGAAAGGTTTTCTGAAGCATTAATTTACTATGCTGCTTTTTTGATTGTCTCGAAGATTACAAAGTTCAGCAACTTCTAAACATGTAATACCGAACAAGAAAATTTCATTACTAAGTTGAGAAACCTCTAAACATGTTATTCCCAACATGTAAACTTCCAAAAATTTCGCCATCATAATATTGTTCTTCATTTGACAGAGTCTTACAACCTAATTTTACAGCACCCAGAAAAGCAGCTTAACATCAACGTTGATGTTAGCAAGGTGGCCAGCACCTAGCATCCCATATATCACTGGGAGATTGTGACTTGGATAAATGTAGATTTCTTAAATTTATCAATTGATATCAACTAAAAGATGAAACCAAAAGAAAAGAACATTCTTGAATTGCACAATAAAGCTCACATTATTCTCAAAGAACTTTATCGACAATCAGCCAAAACTAGTGACGAGGACTTAAAGGAACATATTTGTGATTGTGAATGGGGCAGTTTGCAAGTTCCTGTAGAACTAGTCAGGCCACTTCGAATAAAAAACCCTTCAAGAAGTTACATATTCTGATTACTCAAAAAGCATAGATCTTGAGACCTCGATATTTACAAAGCATTACACAGGGTTCAAAATTATCCATTACAATTCCATAACCAAAGATTGTTGACACTGACAGGGAGCTTGGAGCATGAAACACGGGGTGGTATTTATATCCATCAAATCCACAACTCAAAGAAACTTCCAAACTCAAAGAGAATGAATCAATGTACATTTCCACCCCACAATTAGCTTTTCCCATTCATATCAAAAGTCAAAAGTACAGGAAGGAAAATTCTTACACACAAGTTCTACTTGGTATAAGGATGACATGCTTAATTCTACCTCCACCAGTTCGTAACGAGCAAAAAATGCCCTCCACATATCAATTTTCACATGTCTAATCTTCCTCTTCCTCTGCAATCATGTTCTTGGTTCCCTCTCTAAAGAAAATTGATTCAGTATTCATCCTATGTTGATCATCATGCCTCATGAAATCTTCAAGGCAATCAAAATATGCACCATAGAAGAAGAGAGCTTCAATGAAATTGTTCACAAATATTGGTGAGTTGTGATTTGCCTCAGTTTCAATCATTACGATTACACATGAATTGATGTTTCTGAAAACTCTCATTGAATGATCAAGCCAGTTTGGTGTGGAGATCATGCTTTTAAGTATGTAATGAGCATAGAGAGCAACCTTTTCCTCAACATCCAACTCAAAAAGATCCTCTTCGAGATCTAGCATGTCTAAGACCATAACAATCTTAAAGGAAAAGGGCAAGCCCTTGCTACAGGCAAAACTCATTAACCTCTTACCAGTGTCCTCAATTAAATATCTTTTGAAGTAGTTCCTATAGCAGTTGTCTTTAGAAGTTCAAGAGGGCAACCATTTTGAGATGCAAGAGCTTCCATAAAAGCTGTCCATTGCACCCCAATTAGGATGCAAAGATCAATTATGAGAACCTTTTTTGCCTCAGCCACATTTTCAACAATAGCTTGGATCCTGGCAAATTGTGTGACCTGTGAAAATGGTGTTTCTTCATGGCAGGCCACCATCATGGGGTTTTGGCCCAGTAGTGCCTCATAAATATCAAATGCCTGCTCTTTTGTCGAACTCTTTGATGTGATTCTTCCAGTCTCTAGTTCAATTTTCTCTTGAAGAACTTCATAGAAATAGTAGACCACTCGTTTGACTGGATTTCCAGTGTTGGAAGATATTTTATGATACTGGTTGAGCAATATGCTTGCACAGTCATATTGTTAGTAACCTACTTTTTTGGCAGAAGCATGAAGTAATTGTGCCAGCTCCACATCCTTTACCTCCTCATCAGAAAGGCCAGCAGAAGAAAGATCAAATGGATGGTTAAGCACAAAGCAGCCATCCAAATTTAGGTGAGAAGACTGGATAAACAAATCTCCAGCAATCCTCAACACATCTTCAGTCAAAAGCTTTCTATCTGCCTAATTTTTGCAAGTAGTTGTGCAAAGACTTGGTTCAATTCTTCTTTTCCGATTCAGTCATCTGAATCCACTATCATAGCTATTTAGCAGCTCAAGTGAAGCTAAGGAAATCGGGTGCTTCTTTTCCTTCTTGGGTTCAACACCTTTAATTCCATTCAGGATGCCACCAAGCTTTGCGATTTCCTGCAGAGATGTTTGAATTGGTGGAGAAAGCAAAAGCAAATTTTACCTCAACCAGAAGACCATAATCTGAAAATGACTGTTCTTGATGTTTTTGTTGTTGATATTTGGAGAAAAGGATCTCTTCATCCATTGAATCGCCCTGATACAATCCATAATCAGAAGAAAAGGAAACAATGCCTCCAGTCCTTCCCCAGTCCTCCGATCCATAATAACTAATTTGCTTTTGCGTGGTCTGTCCTTGGAAGCTCTCAGAACCCATATGGGCAAGACAGAGATTATCTTGGATTCCACCAAAAGTGAACTCCTCCATAGAGAACACAATATTTGCCACACCAGAAAGCTAGAGAACCAGCTCTGTCTGGTTTCTTATAAACTGGTAGGTTATACTACCTAAGTATACAAGTTGAGTGATTTATAGGTACAGGAACAAGAATATACATTTAGCCCATTTAAAAGACCTACATGATGACAAACTTGCCTACGATTACAATATTGTGGTTTGACAGAGTACAGTTACATATAAAAGGCTAGATATTATCTGACTGTTTGGTTTCAGAATTTAGTTGATGTACTTTACTAAGCTAGCAACTTCTAGAAATGTAATTCCCAACTTAGAAAATTTTCATTAATCCTTTTAAAATAATGTTGCACTTATTTGACAGAGTCTTACAAGCAACGGCTGCAGCATCTTAACATCAATGTGTTGATGGTGGCTTGCACCTAACGCCCAGTAATATATCACTGGGAGATTGCCACTTGGATAAAATCCATTTTCAATGTCCATTTTTTTTACTCTATCATTTGATTTATCAACTAAAAGATGGAACCAAAAGAAAACAACATTCTTGCAATTGTACAATCAAGTTTCCATCATTCGCAATAAAATTTATCAACAATCAGCCAAAACCAGTAACGAGAACTAAAAAGAACATGCCATCAGTAATGAGTACGCAATTAGCACAGATCATGTAACAGCCAACAGAAGGGACACACATAGTGAAAGGAAATAATCTTTTGATTTAGACATGAAAAAGAAATCTTACAATGCAGATATCAGCAATCACTTCCAAGGTCCAACAAGTCCTTCTAGGACCTCGTCTGTGTTCACATTCCCCTTGTTTCCTTGTTCTGTAATAAAAACATCATCAACGTGGTTTTCCAAGTCAAAAAGGAAATGGGCTTTCAGTTTTTTTATAATTCATTAAATGGAAACCAGGATGGGATCATAAGATGAAAATGAATTTGATAAAAAAAAAAAAAAGAAAAAAAAAGACCATTAACTCTGGAGATTTTCAATTGTAAAAGGTTATGAATTAAAATTGCACTTTACCTCTCAATGTTTTCCTCGGTCGTTAAGACAGTGAAGTTTCAATCCGCCATAAAGGCGTAAGGATGATCTCCGTCATCCTTTGCATGTCCGATCTGCATGATGGAAGAAGCTAATCCGACGTCGTTTAGTTCTTCCACACCAAACCACAAACCACTGAGTTCCGAGTCATAACTGACTCAGAGTGAGGAACGAGTTGAAAAAAAATGCTAAGTACACTCTTTTACACTCTTATTTGGACACT